ATATATATATATATGTTCTTCCGCTCCAGAAAGTACAGTCTTTCATCGGGTGATACAACGCCAGTCAGTAGCTACAGCAAGTCGAGGCGCGATAGACCCCACTCAGCCCCAACAAGCGGCACCGATGTGTCACGTGTAGAGCAGAGACTTCGCATAGTGAAGCGCAATCGCATGAGGCGCACGCCCGACGTCTCCTGTGTTCCGGGAAGCGGTTCCCCATCGGATTCACCGCCGGTGCCGCCATCCGTCGATCCACCGTGTGCGGCGTACCCTACGTTTGACTTGTCGCGCTTATCAAAACATGAACAGCACATTGTGGAGGCCCTGGTGGCGGAAATTGCCGACGCCATCGCATTCCCCGGTGCAGAGGAGTGATAGGCACCAATTGTTGTGCATGCACTGTTCCAAAGAAGCAGCAGCAACACACCTGCAAGTATAACAAAGAAAAGGGAAGGAAAGATGACAAGGGGGGCTTGTTATTTATGAAGCCATTGACTAAATGAATTTACTTTTTTTTCTTTTCCTTTTATTGTTCTCTCTTCGCTCTCAGGTTGCATAGGACAGGGTAGGCAAGTCCTCTTTTTTTTTGTTTTTTTTCTTCGGCCTTATTTGGTTCTCGTTGGTCTTGCCCTGTGCTGCATTCGAGGGAAAAATGCCGCAGAACGAGTACATTGAGCAGGCGCAGAAGCGCTACGGCCGCCGCCTCGACCACGTAGAGCGCACACGCAAGCGCGATGCCCGCAAGGCGCACACGCAGGCAAAGCACCTGCGCCGGGTGCGCGGCATCAAGGCAAAGATAGCCGCCAAGCAGCGCTACACCGAGAAGGCAGAGATCCGCAAGAAGATCCGCGAGCATGAGGAGAAGCAAACCACTGAGCGCGTCAAGGAGAAGGGGCCCAAGAATGCGCTGCCCAGCTTCCTCATGGACCGCAGCGAGGCAGACCGCGCCAAGGTACTCTCCAACTCACTGAAGCAAAAGCGCAAGGAGAAGGCAGGTAAGTGGGCGGTGCCGATTGAAAAGGTCAAGCCGGTCAGCGAGGACGAAATGATGAAAGCCGTCACATCCGGCAAGCGCGGAAAGAAGTCATGGAAGCGTATGGTGAACAAGGTGACGTTCGTCGGTGAGACGTTCACGCGTCGCATGCCCAAGTATGAGCGTTTCATCCGTCCCATGGCCCTCCGCTTCAAGAAAGCACACGTAACGCACCCGGAGTTAAAGGCCACGTTCCAGCTGCCCATCATCGGTGTCAAGAAGAATCCACAGGGCAAAATGTACACAGGCCTCGGCGTCATCACGAAGGGTACGGTGATTGAGGTGAACGTATCCGATCTAGGCCTCGTCACGCCGTCAGGAAAGGTGGTGTGGGGAAAATATGCGCAGGTCACCAACAACCCGGAGAATGATGGCTGCATCAATGCCGTGCTGCTTGTATGATGTCGAGGCTTGTTTTTTCTTTTGTTGTTGTGCCGCAGAAAGAGAGAGAGAGAGCAAGGAAGAGTTGCTCTGAGCTGAAGGCGGGCCGACCAGTACGTGTAAGTGTCTTTGGGCGGTGAGTGAGTCACGGTTAAAAAAAAGAAAAGAAAAATATGTGTTCCTAAAATGAAAGGAATAATTCCGCAAATATTATGCACCGAATATGGTGCATGACGCAGATTCTTTATTTACCTTGAAACGAGATGATTTTTTTTTTGCTTGTTTCCGTTTCTCTCTCTCTCTCTCTCTGTGTTCCTTACTTATGTATGTGATTCCTTTGTTGCTGCTGTCCTTTGTTTTGTTTTGTTTCTTGATTCGTGTAGAGGGGGTTCTCGTTCTTTGCAGCAAGGCACTTCGCTATCGTATCGATGACCATTTGCCGCGGGAAGGTGCGCAACGAGCCGTCGCGGGCATCGTCACCGTCATCATCGTCGGATGACGAAAGTGACAATGTCGAGATGCCGACCGTCCAAGACGGCAAGCAACAGGCCGAAGACGTCTCCGCAATCGCCACTGGATTCTCCATCGCAGGGTCCGTCGCGCGGTTTGACGGAGGCACACTGCATGGGACCTCCGTAGGTGTGCGCTACGCAGTCCCCGTGTCGTGGCACAACTTGATCTACACTGTGCGAGGCCGCAAGATCCTCTGCGGTCTCACGGGCACTGCGCTGCCGTCGAGGTGTCTTGCCATCATGGGCGCCAGCGGTGCGGGAAAGACGACGTTTCTCAACGCCATCAGCGACCGACTGGCATCAAAACGCACGATGAAGCTACAAGGGACGCGGCAGCTGGGCGACGTAGAGTTCAAGCACCACTACCGAAAATTGATGGGCTTTGTTGGGCAAGACGATATCCTCTCACGTTTGGCAACGCCGGAGGGTTCCCTTCGATTCTCGCTTCGTGTGAGGCGTGGCACAACGGAGAAAGAGACAAGCGAGCGGGTTGAAGAGACACTACAGGAATTGCGACTTTTGCATTGCCGTGATACAATGGTTGGTGTCCCTGGTCTTGTTGCTGGTCTTTCGGGTGGTGAGCGTAAGCGCACCAACATTGGTGTAGAGCTCATCTGCGACCCCAAAATTCTGCTCCTCGACGAGCCCACCTCCGGTCTGGATTCCGTGACATCGGTGAAGATTGCACACCTTCTGAATACCCTTTCCCGTACCGGCCGCACAGTGATCTACACCATCCACCAGCCAACAGCGGAAACGCTGACATACTTTGACGACATTATGCTCCTTGTCGAGGGTCGTTGTGTGTACCATGGGACGATGGAGAACTCTGTTTCCTACTTCGAATCAAACGGCTACCCCTGCCCGGACAGATACACTCCGACCGACTTCTATATGACCCTTCTTCAGGATGAAGTCCATTCGAAGGTTCTTATTAAGAAATGGAAGAAGTTTTTAAAACACGGAAAGCGAACGCCTCACACAACTGCTGTTGAGCTGAACCCTATACCAGAACAATCTGCTACCACACAATTCATTAAGGGATATATTGAGCATTATGAGAGCACGGCATGGATCCAGTTCACAGAACTTATGCGTCGCAATGCAGTGGAGCTGACCCGGAATCATGTCTTTTTGTTCTCCAGTTTCATACAGGCGATTTTCTTTGCCCTTCTCGTGGGGCTCATTTTCCTGAACATTAAGGATAATATTGCGGGTGTTCAGGATCGTCAAGGTGTAATTTTCATGGTTGTCATGAACCGCGCAATGGGGCAAACCTTCGTCATGATCAACGCCTTTATCAACGACAAACCGCTGTTCCTTCGAGAGCAACATGTTGGGGCGTACTCAGCTTTCATGTATTTTCTGACGAAAACGTTGGTGGAGTTCCCCGTGCGTGTTATATTTGCATTTTGTGAGTGCTGCATTCTGTACTGGATGGCAGGTCTACACAACAGTGCTGGGGCGTTCTTCTACTACTTTGGTGTCATCGCACTGCTTACAGAGGTGGCCTCAGGTGTTGGTTTTGCAATTAGTGCAACGCTCCAGAACCGTGTTGTTGCCTCTGCAGTTGCACCAGTGGTTATGTTGCCTCTTGCTGTTGCGGGTGGTCTTTTTGCGAACACCGATCGCCTGCGGCCGTATTGGTATTGGTTGGAGAAGCCATCCTTTATACGGCACTCATTCATCCTACTCGTTCGCAATGAGATGAGAAATCTCAAGTCCATTGATTGCGATAACGTCTCCCATGGTGCAGAATACTGTAGTAACCAGCCTCAGAATGGTGAAGAGGTCTTGCAACGCCTTGGATTTGAAGAGCCTCAGTCAGTTGACTGGATCATGTGGGTTTCAATGGTCATTCTGTACTTCTTCTTTCGTATTATCGTGGTCATTGCCCTCTCTCTCTCTGCACGGTCAAAGTTTTAGAAGGGAATAAATGTCCCGTCTCGCTCTGTTTGGTTTATAGTGTATATGATTATGTGTTTGTGTTTGTGATTTTATTCTGCGTTCGTTGCTTTATTACAATTTACAGAAAGATAGCATGCAAAGTAAAAAAAAACTCTCTTGGTAGTCTTCGTATCTCTATTTGTTTTTCAGACCTCCTTTAAAAAATGCGATGCAGTTGTGGTATAGTCTGCAAAGGCAGACTAGATGAGAGAAAGGGAAAATTTGGTAGAAGCGGAGGGAACTCGCATCGTTGATGAATCTCCTGGTTGCATGGGAGAAAAATCCCCTGGTTGAATGGGAGAAAAGAAATTGGGAAAATGATGATGATGTGTGTGTGTGTGTGTTTTTGAATTCATTTGGAGGTAATGATCTGCGCAACTTCGTGCTCTTGTGGTCTGGCGTGCTGTAGCCATCGCGGTGTGCATACAAATTTTTAAACCCCAACGTCTCGGCTTCCTCTTTGCGTGCGTTTTTTTTTTGTTTTGGTGTGCGTATAGGCAAGTAGGTAAAAGTGGATTTTTTGGAGCGAGAGGGAGGGAGTGTGTGTGTCGGTGGACGNTGTGTGTGTGTGTTTTTGAATTCATTTGGAGGTAATGATCTGCGCAACTTCGTGCTCTTGTGGTCTGGCGTGCTGTAGCCATGGCGGTGTGCATACAAATTTTTAAACCCCAACGTCTCGGCTTCCTCTTTGCGTGCGTTTTTTTTTGTTTTGGTGTGCGTATAGGCAAGTAGGTAAAAGTGGATTTTTTGGAGCGAGAGGGAGGGAGTGTGTGTGTCGGTGGACGTCCACAGAAAAGTTCTTGTCTTTTCGACGCAGAGTACCTCTTCCATTACCAGCAGCTGTACTGTCCAGTGCAGCGCACTGCAGGACTGTGAAAACGGTGACACCATGGGTGCCGGCAGCATGAAGGCTCTGGGTCGGCACTTAGAGAAAAAGCCTCCGCCCCACTTGCGAGACGCCGCCGGTGTGACGAATACCCTTGGTGCAGTCTCTAGGTCGCGGGATTTGAGCCTGCGCGGTAGCGAGCATTCGCGGAGGCGACAACAAACGCCGACAGCATTTGGAATAGATGATGAGTACCAGGTTGATGACTACGATCTGGCTTCCCGCAGCGGCGCGGGCTCGCGACGCGAGTCTTCCCGTGGAAGCAGCGCATCCCCGGATCTTCCAGGTCCGGAAATTGAGGAGTTTGTCTCCTTTCGAGCCCCTTCGGTTCGTGCGTGCCGCGTGTGTGGAACATCTGTTCCACAGCAAGCAAGGTACTGCTCGGATTGCGGGAGTCCCATTCCTGCGGAAAATGAGATCCGCTCGCCAAGAGTGGTCACTGGGAGTGGCAACAGCGGCCGTCCCGTTTACTGTCGCAAGGTTAAGGTGTCATACAATGAGCGGAGTGTGCTCGGTATGGGGGCGAAGGGTGTGGTGTACAGAGCCATCGACATCGACTCGGGGCAGCCGCTCGCAGTGAAGGTGATGTACACCAACATGGACGATGAGGCAGAGGTCAAAGCTGTTCGAGGGGAATTGCGGCATCTGTCAACACTGCAGCACCCCAACATAGTAGAGTATATGGGGTGTCTCCTCGAAGGAGGCAGGGTGTCTATATTGATGGAGCGGCTAGAGTGTGGCTCTCTGGAAGAAATGCTCAAGCAGTTCCCATCTGGGATCCCAGAGAAGGCGATACGTTCTTTCACACTTCAGCTTGTGAAGGCGATAGCATATGTGCACGACTGTGGTGTGACCCACAGAGATATTAAACCAGCAAATATTCTTCTGGCATCTGATGGTACTATTAAACTTGCTGATTTTGGCTCCGCGTGCCTTGCAGGAGCACCAGGTGGAAAAACAGATGGAGTGAAACTTGCTGGCACGCCGGCGTACATGCCACCGGAGACGGTAGAAACGGTTGGCAATCGTAATAGAGACGCGTTCGTTTATGGTAAAGCACACGATGTGTGGAGCATTGGCTGTTGTGTGCATCAGCTACTGAGCGGGGAAATCCCATGGGGGGGTTTCGGTGTCAAGCACGGCTTTGCGTTATTGGCACAAATAAGGAAAAAGTTTTTTCCTGTCTCAGAAGCCCTCTCGCCGATGGCAAAGGATTTTCTTTCCATGTGCTTTCGGCAGGACCCGTTGAAACGGGCGTCTGCTGTGCAGCTACTGATACATCCATTTCTCGAAGACGACGACAAGGAAGAGGGAGGGGAGGTGGACAGTGATGAGGAAAATGTGTATTCCTGGATACGTCTCCTAAGTCGCAGGATGTGATGCGAGATGCAGCCGAGACAAAAGTCAGTGTGGTTGAGAAAAGAGGAGCGCAAGGGGGAAAAAAAGGTCTCTGAATTGCCTGGGTGTGTGTCTGTCTGTGTGTGTGTGTGCCCTATCGAGGTATTTATTGGGTTTTGAGTGTTGCTAGTTTGACCCGTGTGTCCAGTAACAGGTGGAAAGGTTGCTCTTCTCCGTGTGTGTACCCGAGTGCGTCTTCTGGTGTATGGCAAGCCTATATCCGCTTAAAACTAAAGTGATATTTCTTTTTTCTTTCTTTCTTTTATGATCTACTAGCGGTGTGCGAATATTTTTTTGAGGGCATCGTTGTTGTTGTTTTTTTTGGTTTACGCACGCAATTCGAGTAAGGGCTTGACTGTCTGCTGACTTCTGCCCATACCTGCTGGTGAAAGGAAGAGGAGGAAGCGGATGGAGAAGCGAACGTATGCATGCAAGCAGCATACATTACTGTTGTTAAGAGTGCGTGAAACTTTAAATTTCTACGTTTTACTTTTTATATGATGTCTCTTTTACTATGTGGCCGTGGCGAAGGTGAATGCAAGTGTAGGTATATATGTTTCTCTCTTTTGCTGTCGTTATGATTATCATTGTTGTCTTCAGCGTGACCATGGTTACACTTTGTCAGCGAAATCACAGAGTCATTTTATGACGAAAGGGGGGAGGATGTCCCGGGAAGGTGATCTCTCGCTCTTCGCATTTTTTCTTCTAAAGTGGGCCTATTATTGTGTTGTTTCCCCTGTGTTCCTTTTTTTAGTCTGAGGGAAGAAGGGAAAAAATAAATAGAAAAGAAGAGTGAGAGCTGCACAGGTAAGCAAATCCTCATGCCGGAGCGGACGGTGTACAATGCCCTGCCGAAGCTCCCCGGCTTCGGCTTTTCTGAGTTGCACCCACCCGTGACACACCGGCGGCGCCAGTACTGCATCCTGGAGGGGGGCACCAGGACCGTGCTTGACGCCAACAGCAGCACAATCCGCAAAAGCGATGAACGCGGGCGTGGCGGCGGCTGTGGCGGCTTGAGTCGCGCCGAGATTCTCGCGAAGTTCCCGGAATGGAATTCGCTCGACGATAAAGTCCTCCGCTTCTTTGGTTATTATATGGAGCGTGTGGATGAGAGTGTGGTGGAGAGAATTCGTGTAAGAAAGGTAAAGATACATTTCTACCTCACGGATGGAACCCTCACTATAGTGGAGACACCTGCTGTCGTGAAGAGTGGTCTGCGTCACGGTACGACAGTGTCGCGCTGCAAAGTTGACGGCATCGATGTCTTCTCTCTTTACATTGGCGCCATTATTCACGTCCGCGGTATAGACTATACTCTCGTTGACTGTGATGCCGCCACGCGTGACTTCTGTGCAGTGATGGAGATGGCGCAGCCAGAGCCCATCAACTACCCCGAGGACGCATTCGAAGCAACTGTCATGACCACTAAAGCACCAATGGATGAGCACCACATCGCAATGCGTCGCGCCATGGAGATTTCAGCAGCAAATGCTGCGGGGACCCACGCCAGTCTTCTTACACCAGATGAGCGTAACAAAGCCCGGAATTTTTTTGAACACGACCGTGAGGTTTTGCGTTTCTCGGCCGTCTGGGAGCAGAGGCTGTTTAGGATTCAATACTACATTGCGGACCAAACCACATCGGTTATGATGGAACATGCGCGGAATGACGGACGCGACCCCAACGCTGTTTTCATTCGGCGCACACTAATCCCGAAGGATCCCAAGGCTGCGCTGCGAGATACAGAGACACTGAACCTTCCGCTAGGGTCGCCCATCGTATACATTACGGACAATGACCTTCGGACAGGTGAGACGGTCAATCTTTTCACCAGGGAATTCTACATATTTGACTGTGATCCCTACACGCGTGCCTATTATGAAGCGAAAGGCGTTGAACAGCCATCGTATCCGAAACCTCCAACAGAAGCAGAAATTCTCACTTCCAGCATGAAGCGGCCACAGGTGACTCAGCTGCCTCCAGCGAGAGGGACGCAAGGTGCCTCGACAATGGTTTTCGAAGACACTGCTTGCCAAAAGGACCGTCTCAAGCTCACTCGTTATTCGAACGATGTGTTTCGTTTTGCCGCTCGCCACAAGAAACCCAAGCCAGAGGACGAGGGTAGACAATTTCTGGTTTGTTACCACCTTGCGGACGATACAGTGTCAGTTTACGAACTTGTTGTGGCCAATAGCGGTCATGTTGGAGGAAAATGTTTCGCTCGATCAGTCGTCCCTGAGATTAATGAACCGGGCAAATTGTATGTGGGCGCCAATGTAAAACTCGCTGGGGTGGAGTACGAGCTCACCGACATGGATGAGCGGACAAAGCGGTACATCGCGATGGGAATGCCTCTAATGGATGAAAATTATTTCCATACTCAGAAGCTTGTCAATCGCGCGCGGGAGGTAGTTCTTCAGCGCTTTTCAAGGATAACCGACGCCTTTCGTCACTTCCGATCCACAACAGAGGGGTTGACAAGCGATGACGTCAAGTGTCTCTTTGTGGAGTGTGGTATACGTCTCGACGCGGCCGAGCTAAGCAGCGTCATGGCAAGCCTTGACCACGACAAGGATCAGATTATCTCTTTGCCAGAGTTCACGGAGCACCTCTTGGGGCAGCAGTTCGTCTCAGACTTTGTCCCAAAGAACCAAAGGATTGGTGGCGTTGGCAAGGGACCTCTTCGCTCACTACAGGAAATTGAGGCAAGCAAGAACACAGCAAGGGAGGCGGACGAAGCGCTACGGAAGTTAATCTCGCAGAGCGAAGCCCGTCGGGTGCTCCTCATTCGGGCTTGCAGAACCGCCGCAAACACCACCTACGACGGCCATCTCAGTATTGAGGACTTCACGAAGGCACTGCAGGAACGACTGAACCTTTCCTTCACGGATAGGGAGCTGGACGCACTTGTATTCAAATTTTTCTATTCTCCAGGCATGGCGGATTGGACTGTAAGGCGTCTACCAGTGAAGGAGATTCAGAGACTCGTCATGCTTTAGGCACCCTTTTGCCACCACATCTTCCTTGCAGGTGTTTGAGTTGTGAGTGTGTTCCCCTATCCCCTTCTCCACAGCATGTATGGTGGCGCGAGAGCCACCTCACCCTCTTTGCATGGATGTCAGATGTAGATTTGATTTGCCGAAGGATGAAAACCAAAAGCTATGGAAGAAGCATCTCCACTGGAGGCCTTTGGTGTGTGTAAGTGTATAGGTGCATTTTACCAGCTTCTTGTCTATGCTGCTGAGAAGGTGAAATTGTCCTCTTCAGTTTCATGCATATTAAACTTGTTGCCTCTTTTATTCATTCATGAATCTCTCTCTTTCTCTCACTCTCTCTTTCCCTTTTCATACTCCTACCGATGCGCTTCTATCTTTTTCTTTGTAACAACAAGATGGCGAAAGAGAGGGGTATGAGCAGGGCGGGTTATTTGGCTGAGCAACCACAACAGTTGGATGATTTTGTGGCGCTGACAGGTCTAAAGGTGGCGTACGCCACGGAGTGCTTTGGGCGCTTTGGTGGCTACGCACCAGCTCTTGCTTCCTTCGCCCAGTCGTATCCCTTACTGCCGAAGTCGTACTTTGATCGACGAGATGCTGTGCGGTTAAATATGCTGAAAATCAATGAGGAACTGAAGCTTATTTACAAAAGGGCGAGAGAAATCAAGGCCCAGTCTGGCAAGAATGTGAAAGAGGTCTGGGCCTCCTATTATATTGACGCAGAACCAATAAGGGTAGCACCACCACCTGATGAGCACGTGCCAAGCACGAAAAAATTGCAGTATTGCGAGCCTTCACACTTTACTGGGCCCTTCTTTGACATGCCACTCTTCTGGAAGGAGGAGGGGGATTGTCAATGCCCTCTGTTGAATTTCGATAAAAGGAGCCTTGAGTGTAAAAGGTATGCCCTACGCAAAAGACTGGAACTATGGGTAAATAGGGCGTCGGCGTATCGGCGTCCTGTACACTACGTTGATATTGGAAAAGATGAGGAGGATGAGACGGTTCGTGTTATCATCAAGGATGCAGACCGCACCTTCTTTCATCCTGAGCACCGCAAGAAGTTTGTGGCCTTTCTTAATGCCATGTATCATGAATTTAAGGTGTACACTCAAGCGATGGGCTATCTGGCTGGACTTTGCTTATTGGCTCTAAATGAGGAGGAAACGGCGGCTGTGCTTCGATTTGTCTCCTGTGTGCACCTTCCACCCCAATGGGCAATGGAAGCTGTTGGTTTTGTTACGGCTGCGCGAGTTATAGAAAGCCTTGTAAAGCCTACGTCTTCGAGATGTAAATCAACTGATCCGGAGGTAGGAGCCTCCATGTACAAGTATTTCCAATCCGTCTTAAATTTTCTTTGTGGCAACACTGTTAATGTGGAAGAGATTTTTGGTTTCTTTGAATTGTTGATGGGGGACATTCGAAGTTTGTCAATTGTTGGTGATAGTGAAAAAGCGGTATTCTGATTGTTTGTTTGATTGTGCTGTAGTGTTTATATGCGTGATAATATATGGTGCCTGCGGATCTCGTGATGATGAATGGATCTGTGAAAATACGAATGGGCGTGAAAGCAAAGGGAGTTTTTTTGTGTGTGATTTTCGTTTCTTACTAGTGTTGTTCGTGGTCTTGTTGACGTTGATTTTTTTTTTCTTGTTTTGACAAGGGGATAGTACGCGGGGGACAAAAGGAAAAGGTATAAGATATGGTTTTCGACGCTGAGAAGGTACGGCCCCTGGAGGACTTTGTGGCCCTCACGGGACTCAAGGCAACGTACGCGAAAGGGTGCTATGACCGCTTCGGTGGTTACGCCCCGGCCCTTGCCTCCTTTGCCCAGTCTTACACCTCGCTGCCAGAGGACTACTTTGAGGAAAAGGACAGGGTGGTGAAGAATGCGGGTGTGATAAACGAGGAATTGAAGCTCATCTACAAGAAGGCAAGAGAAATAAAATCCGCATTGAATGTGGCAGACGATGGTGTCTGGGCCTTTTACTACACGCACCAGTCCGTCACGAAGCCGCTGCAACAACAACAACAACACCAGCAGCAAAAGCCCGCTAATGCCTTCCAATTCGGTGCATCGTCAAATCCTTCAGGACAACTCTTTGGTTTTGCTAATGGAACCGGGAACAACACTACTTCGTCTGCGCCAACTTCAGCTTCGTTAAATTTTGGTTTTGGACCCGCTCCTGTTACCTCGTCTTCTTCCGCAACTGCTGCTGTCAGCGTTCCCCCCGCATTCGCTGGTTTTGGGCAACCGAAGAAGGTGACGGAAGAAACAGTAAAGAAGGCTTTCCATGAAAATGAAGTGAAGTATTGCGAGCCTTCTCACTTTACTGGGCCCTTCTTTGACATGCCACTCTTCTGGAAGGAGGAGGTGGAAGGACAGTGCCCTCTGTTGAATCTCAACAAGGGATTCCTTGAGGAAAATCGCGATGTTCTGCACAAGCGGCTGGAGGTGTGGGCAAAGAAGGCAGCGTTCTTCCAGAAGCCCGTCCGGTATGTTGAGATTGGAGATGATGACGAGGAAACGGTTCGTGTTATCATCAAGGATGCCGACCGTACCTTCTTTCATCCTGAGCACCGCAAGAAGTTTGTGGCCTTTCTTAATGCCATGCATCATGAATTCAAGGCGTACGGTCAAGCCATGAGCTACCTGGCTGGACTTTGTTTATTGGTTCTAAATGAGGAGGAAACGGCGGCTGTGCTTCGATTTGTTTCAACTACGTACATTCCGGGTCACTGGGCAGCTGAGGCCATAGGTTTTGCGTCTAGTGCCTGGGTTGTGGAAAGCTTCATGCAGCGTCTATTCCCCGACGTGGCAAAGCATCTTGAGGAGTTGAAGTTCTGGCCCGATACCTACTTGCAAAAAATTCTCACAGGTCTCTGCATCCACGTTCTCAACTTCCGTGAGCTGTTTGAATTCCTTGACCTTTTCATGGAGAGCGGGTTCAAGTTTCTTATCAAATACTGTCTTGCGATTGTGGAGCACTTTCGCAGCGACCTTCTAGGCATAAAAACCGTTAACGACGCCAATGCGGTCTATGAAATAATGCGTCTTGACTCAAAGGTGGCCGACCTCCAGGATGTGAGGGCCATCCTCCGGCGGGCACCGTTGATGGATCTTGGGGAGGATGGTGACAACATTGACGTCATACGCATGCAGGTGTACGACAAACACGTTGCCCCGAGACTGCAGCGGGCACCGAAGGTCGAGGCTTTTGAGCCTTGTGAAGTGTGTGGAGAACGAAAACCAACGTGGTGGAATGACGACCTCGGGGCGGTTTGCAGTGTGTGTAAGGAGGCAAACTCAGAAATAACTTTCACAAAATTTTAAGCTCAAGAGAAATACAAGAAAAGAAGAGAGATTTTGTCTGTTCGAAAAGAGGAAAATTTTTCGTTTTAAAAAGGGTTCACAGAAGCGAAGACCTGCCGAGAGTCGGCAGCATGTGTGTATGCGTACCGGCGCACGCACGGAAGCAAGCAATGTGCAAGAGAGAGAGAGAATGAAAGACTGATAAGTTCACGTGATACGAATGTGTGTCCTCTGTGTCATCATTAGTCGGTATCTTCCGCCCTTTTCCCTCCCTGAATATTGCTTCTCTGCCTTGAAAGAAAAGACTAACAGCAGCACCTGATGTCCGTGCGCCACGTGGCGGACCTTCTCGCCGAAGAAAAGGACGAGGGCCGTCATTACTACTCGTTCGAATTCTTGCCTCCACGCACCGAAAAGGGAGAAGAAAAACTGTGGGATCTGCACTTTCCGCGCTTTGCCAAGATGGAACCTCTGTTTGTGGATATTACTTGGGGGGCTGGCGGTCAGACCAGCAGCACGACGCTCCGGATATCCAAGGATTTCCAGGAGAAGTACGGTGTCCCGGTGAATATGCATCTCACGTGCGCCAACATGCATCCAGGCCTGCTGAAGGAGACGCTTGATTCTTGTTACAAATGTGGAATCCGAAATATCCTCGCGCTTCGCGGTGACCCTCCTAATGGTACGGAATGGAAGCCACGTGACGGGGAATTAACTTGCGCACTGGACCTTGTGAAATTCATTCGTGCCAACTATGGCGATTTCTTCTGCATCTCTGTTGCAGGATACCCAGAGGGACACCCGAGCGCCATTAACACGGTAGCAGGAAGGATAACAGAGGATGGAATGAAGAAAGAGTTGGACTACCTCAAAGCCAAAGTGGATGCCGGAGCCAGTCTCGTCATCACGCAAATTTTCTATGATGCTGATCTTTTTATTGAATTTGTCAAGAAGTGTCGTGCCCATGGTATCACTGTCCCCATACTCCCGGGCATTCTCCCTATTTCTACTTATCGAAGTTTGAAGCGCATAGTCAACCTCTGCAAGACCTACCTCCCTCCCGAGGTTGCAGCACGTGTGGAAGAGCTCAAAGATGATGAAGAGGGGCTAAAAAAGTATGGCATTTCACAGGCAGTGAAGATGGTGTGGGCAATCCAGTCTGCAGACATCAACATAAAGCATTTTCATTTGTATGTCGTAAATGCCCCCGATTCGATACTTGGTGTGATGAATGAGTTGGGTGTGTAGTAAAAACAAACACAAAAACAAGTAATAAAAGAACGGAAGTGAATTTTTTTCGTCGTTTATCGTATTAATAAGATTCCTTTCTCTACCTCAACTACTTTCTGCAGTTTCGTTTTTTTCTATTTTGCTTTTTGAGTGGTGGGGTATCCTGCCTGCCTTTCCCTCTTCGATTATATTTTCGTGACACTGACTAATTTCTATCTGTACGTAATTTTTTTTCTCGTGCGTTATTGTCTGTAATGTGTCGCCAGCTGAAAAGATGCCATTCTCTATTGCTATGCTTGTACTGGGTGAGGCTTGCTGGGCGTATTTGATATTATTTTGGGGTTGACATAGCGTGCACAACTAGCAGCGTATCGTATGTGTATGTATCCCATCTCATTCTCTTTCTCTGTGTCTGACTGACTAATTTTTTTTCTTCGCTTTTCCACCTAACCTGAATTCATTTGATTGAAGAAAGGGAGGATAGATTTTTGCTTGGCACGTGAAGGATTCGGCACATTTAAAGCGGGAAAAGAGGAAGCCCGTTAGGAAGCTTTGATTAACCGATATATATAGATAGATAGATAGATACATACAGATATTCAGATATATATTTGAAAGCAAATGGTGGAAAAGAGTGAAGAGGTGCATTTGCTGGATAACACACAGCGTTCGATTCTGGGCACGTGGCGCTCGTTGTGTGCCAAATCTAAGTGTGTTTTGGCGATTCTGTTTGTCGGGTCAATGTTGGTGGCTCTTGGTTTCGCTGCTGTGGTTAACGTTGCAACCGATACATTTACTACTGGGCCTCTTTCTGGCGGACAGATCATGGCTTTTGTCCTCTGCACATTTGTTATGGCTTGGGCTTTGGCCGATACCGTCGCTTTACAGTTGTTTCATGTAAATCTGATTTCGCTTGGCAGCGAATCCCGGGCAAGGCTGCGAAGTGGGGCTGAATTCTGTATGTACCTTTTTCTCATGTTCTTCTGTGATCGTACATCACTTTTGCCGAGAATGAAAAAATGGTACACGCCAGATTCCTTCTGGTTCATGTGGATCACCTTGGTGGCGGCTTCATTGTGCACACTCACTAAAGTAAAAAATCCACCTTCCATTGTTGTTAATGGGCATGGCACAGCGGAGCTTTACCATGTTCCACCTTTGACACGCACCCAGACAGAGGAATGGAAAGGGTGGATGCAAGTACTATTTTTGTGGTACCATTACTTTCACAATGTTAGTATATACAATAGTATTCGACTTTTTATCGCCGCTTATGTTTGGATGACTGGATTTGGAAACTTTTCGTACTATTATGTGCGCAAAGATTTTTCATTAAGTCGTTTTTGTGAAACGCAATGGCGGCTTAACTTCCTCGTTACCGCGACATGTGCAGTTCTGGGAAATCAGTATATGCTGTACTACATATGCCCTCTTCATACACTCTTTACACTTTTTATTTACGGAAGCCTTGCTTGTTTCCAAGATATGAACCGGAGCAATAGAGGAGTGTGTATAAAAGTCTGTGGACTTTTTGTTGTGTGTTTTTTGCTTTGGGATATTTCAGAAGAGATATTTTATGTATTGTGGTTTCCCTTTAAGTGGTTATTACGTTATGATGATCCGTATCGCCCTGGTCGGGACGTGATGTCGGAGTGGTTTTTTCGAACTTTCCTCGACCATTACATATGGATATATGGCATGATATGTGCATACTGCCACCCAAAATGTGATGGCTGGTTGAAACGGCTCGATGAAATGCCAAGACACATTAGTTGGTTGGTTAAATCTGTGATTGTTTGCATTGCTTTAGTTATTGGGTATGTGTATGTCAATGCCGTTTATCTTCTTCCCAAGGCAAAGTACAACAGGGTACATCCATACACTTCGCTTATTCCTATCACTATTTATATTGTTTTGCGGAATATTTTTATGCGTGGGAGGATGTACCACAGTGAGCTTTTTGCAACCTTAGGAAAAGTTACCCTTGAGTCTTACATCTCTCAGTTTCACCTGTGGATGGCCACAACGGGATTGAATGGAAGTCCAAAGTTGCTTCTTCGAATAGTGCCAGAAGAATATCCAATGGTGAACTTTGCCCTTACATCCATAGTTCTTTGTGTGGTATCATTTCGTTTGTTCGCCACAACAAATGTGACGCGCACATTTTTTATACCTCCGAAAGCTTCTTCGTCTGTGCTCAAAAATAATATTGCAACAGTGGGAATTTTTATGTTGTTGTTGTACATTGTTTCTTGTTGCATGCAGTTCGCGACAGCGAGATAGCCCATAATTTCATAATAGTTATCGCCTTTTTATTATTATTTAGAAGAAAAAAACTGAATAGAACGCAAAACGCAAATTCTCGATGGATTCTGGTGGGCCACTGAAAAGTACGTGTGTGCCTGCTTCTCTGTGAGTGTTTGTGGTCTCGCACCCCTGTTGTACTTTGCATCCCTTTTCAATGACTGTTCTTTTATGCGTTTCTTGACTACACCGTTAGAAGGTCTGGAGGGCGGTTTATGGGAGGAAGAAAAGCGGTGCGGGCGGCGGAAGGCCTTGTGCACCCCAACTCCCGAGTGGTGCGACAGCTGCAGCGCCAGACGAGCCGAAATGAACGCAACAATGAGCGAGCAAAAAAACGGCATGCCCAGGATCTGCTAGAGGCAGCGCGTTTTTTTTGGTTCCGAGAACAATGTATGGCCCTTGGGCGATTGCATTCCGCTTTTTCCATGGAGGAGGCGCAGGTGCTTACACAGCTATATGTTGAACGCAACGATGCTGAACTTGTCTTGCTCAAATCCCTCCGCAACCCCACGGCTGGGCGCATAAAGAAAATTGAGGCCTTGAAAGAAAGTGAAACAGACGCATTTGAATCCGCCAAAGGTATAGTTATTCCCGATATCACTGACAAGGGCAGGGTTGAAATTCTGACGGAGATTTGGGATGGTGGGTGCGATACCCGTTGTGTAGTGCCACGGCTTCATTTGACCCGCAGCGGCGTTTTAACAACGCCGACAGCAGTCAATGAAATGCGGCTGAAATTGACACCTATTGATCTTGTTCGTGAAAAAGCAACATCGGTCACACCAAAAAAAGCCCTAAAGTTCCGAAATCAGAAACGAACCCAATCGGTCAAAACAACCGCCAAGATGGAGGACATTACGTCAAGATCCAAGTTACAGAACACCGAACGTCAACAAAAACGGTTAAAGGAGGAACGAAAAGCTTTAATTAACTCCAGAAGGTCCATATAAAACGATTTGGTAAACCGCACGCGCCGTGTGTCTCTATGTCCTGTTTTTTATTTATTTCTTGCCGCACTCATCCCAAGCCGCCTGCGAGCCGAACCCGCTCCTTTTTTGTTGCTTTTTTTTCTTTCTTTGTTTCCACCCCGCCCCCGTGCGTGGTGAAGGAAGTTGGATTGCCCGCGTGCGCGCGTGTGTTGTTTTTCCCCCCACGCCCTCCCCCCGTCCCTGCCGCTTTTTTTTTTTTGCGGCGAGAGGGGGGGGAGGATTTGTTATGGGAAGGGGCCCCGGCGCCCGGCGTTTCGGTTTTTTTCCCTCGTTTCGCCCTTCCGGTTGTTGAAGGGCGTGGGGCGGGAAAAAGGGTTTTTGTTTTTTTCCAAAATTTGTGAATAGTTTGGGCTGCGCCGCTTAGTAAAAGTCGAAACGGCGATGCCTGTAAGATGATCGCGGCGTACCTTGTGAATAAACGAGTCCGATGCAAAAGGGATTTTCCTATAAACCGCCTCGAATGGAATATCGAAGGCCCGGCATCCCCCAGCCATGGTTTAGTTGTTATGGGTCTCGGGAAAAATAGAAAACGGAGTTTTTTTTTCGTTTGATATGGCCATGGTTCGCAACCGAAATGGTAAGATAAAATTGTCCCTCCAAAAATAAGGAGGGGGTGAAAGAATATTATTCTTTCCACAAAAACGGGGCCGCTACGGGAATCGAACCCGTGACCTCCTGTACCCAAAACAGGAATCATGCCACTAGACCAAGCGGCCGACGTTTGGAGTGGATAAGAACAAGAATATTTTCTTCGATGCTATTTTTATCAAGAAAGTGTGCAACTCCAAAATCTGGAGCAGTTCTCGAGAGAAGGGGGGGGGGGNGGGGGGGGGGGAATTCTGTACCACCTTTCTTCGCAGTGCTCTGAAGCAAATTGTTCCCTGCACACGCTTCCAATTTTGGTTAACAAGGTTCATTGAAAGAAAACACAATGCCAACCAGACTGCAAGGGCCTCGGCTTGTATGGTGAGAATTGCCGGGGGTGTTATCCAACAGACCCCCGGCAATCTGTAATTTTCAAGGCTCCGACAAAAAAAAAACCGCACCCTAGCCGGTTACCAACGCATCAGTCATGGGTGCGGCTTTACATTTTCACCCAGGGGTTGATTACCCTTTAATTCTTAATCCACCAACCTCGAATGCAGGGCGTTCCCAGCTTCTATTTCCGAAGGGGGGAAAGGTGAGCCGGCGGTGCTCTCTGGACCATTTTTTTTTTATTCACTGCCGATGGTCTCTGCCGAGCATGTTTTGTTTTTAAAAAAAGAAATAACATAGAAACGATCTTGTGCCAAGCCCTCCCACAGCATGCCGGAATTTAGACACCAAGACTTCCATTCTTGCGACCATTATTTCCTATAGTAGTGTAAGAAACCTCAATGGCTTTAAACCTTTTTCACTGTGCCACGTTTTTTTTTTTTTTTTT